CCCTCAATCTAACCTATGTCACGACTATTTGCTAACAGCTAAGTGGGTAGTGTCATTTGAAAAAAAAACTGGGAAAAAAAACACAGATGGAGTCGACCTTTAATGTTTAGTGACAAATAATGAAGCAGTGAATGCTGTGATTTTCAGGTGGCTGGAATCTACAGTCACACTCACTGATGCCTCTCGGATCAAACCCTGTGCAGCCCATTCGCTGCTGCCTTGCAAAAGGTGGCCGCTTGTGGGTGGGATATTGGAACAAAGTCCACGTGGTTGACATTGACAGTAAGAAGGTTGAGGTAAGAAACGATGGTGTTATTTACATTGTTAGCGTCTAATTTTCACGTACATCTTTGAACTTACCGTATCTCCTTATCTGACCCCACAGCAAACATTCTCAGTGTCTGAGCGCAGTGAGCAGCAGGTCCGTTTCCTGTGTGCCGGTGGAAGCGGTGTTTGGGCATCCTGCCGGCTCGACCCAATCCTCAGACTGTTTGACTGGTCCACAGGACGGCCGCTACAGGAAGTCGATTTTAGCGCTTTGGTCACTAAAACATTAGGTACTAAAACTGCATTTTTTCTTTTGTTAAAAATCATTTTTAAATGTGAAGTAATACATTTAGTGGAATCTACAGTTTTACAGTATGTTTAATCATAGTGTAGTCATTTCTTATAATGTTAGCAAGCACAGTTTGAGCTCAAAGGAGCACTGCTCACACTAATAGTCATTAGCTGGATGCTGACATCTTGTCGTCGTTACTACCTTTTGTTTCTCTGTTCTTAATTTTATTATTGGGGAAAGAAATTTCAGCCTGTGGTGTTTGTGAATTTACCTTTGCATGTGTTAAACTGTTATATTTTTAGCAGCCCTTGTGGCTTCAAGAGCATGTGCAGGTTCCTCTGTGGGTGTGTGGAAACAATTCATAATCAACAGACAAAAGGTCAACCTGCCTAAGTTAAAAAAAAAACAAACAAACCATTTTTTGTGTGTGTTTGTGTCAGGCAGCTTTGAGTGTAGCAGGGTGTCTGCAGGTCCTTTTAAAAGTCTTAAGATGTCTTTAATTCAATTTTGTTATACAAATATTAGACCTTAAAATTCATTAAATAGTCTTAGATTTTAAGATCTTCTGTGTGAATGCCCACATTTCTGATGTTTCAAATCTTAAAACCTACCGCTGAACCTAATACCGTCTTTTTACTTCATACCTACACGTACCTGTTGGCAGAATTTAGATTAATCTCGCTAACTCTAAAAACCATATTCCAACATAATATAGTAACCTTTATACTTACCTGCAATGCTGGAATAAGAAAACGGTTATGCGTTCAAAAATCATTCTTAAATTTCATCATGAATTATCTTGAAAATGTCTTAAACAGCATTAAAGTGTCTGATGCCTTTAGACACCCAGATTTAAACTCGTTCCCTGCAGGTCAGCTAACATGCTTCTGTCTTCCTCTGTAGGCCAAGCCTTCCTGACACTCGCACCGCTCCAGATCTCATCTCTCACAGTCATCTCTGGCCGTCTGTGGGTGGGCACAGGAGGTGGTGCCATTTTCTCCATCCCATTATCCATAAGTGAGTTTTATTTAGACAGAGAGCGTAAGCACTTGAATCTTACATTGTCAGAAATGTGCTCGCTCTAGTATTAATCATATTAATGACCATCTACAGCATCAGAGGATGTTTCCATCCCATATTGCACCATGCCATCAGCTCAGCTGTGTTACCATGGGCATAGACAAGCTGTCAGGTTCATCATCGCTGCACCTGGTAAGAAACTAATTGTCTGAAGCACGCTAAACATTTTGATTCAGGGAGTTGTTTGAGAAAGCAGTTGCATGCTGTAGTTGTCTCATAGTGAACGTAAAATCATCTTTGCCCCACAGCTTGTTTGATCGTCTCCCCTGGCTGCAGCACTACTACCTCTCAGTTTATCCTCAGTGGAGGAGAGGGCTACATTAACTTCAGGATTGGTGAGTTGAAGGAAAATACTGTAGTGTCAAATTGTTTAAAACTTGTCTGATGTATTCCTACTCTAGGTTGCATTTACTGACCGTTAAGTCCAGTGGTTCCCAACGATTTTCCCCGAGGGACCCCTTTTCTATCGTTGAATAAACTGACTTAAATGACATGTTTTATGGATATTTCATATTATATTCAATGCATAACAATAACAGAACAGAACAGCTGATAAACTATAGGATTAATTCAAACAGTGAACATAGTAACTGCAGAAAGTTTGTGTAAAACAAGCAGTTTGGATGAATTTGAGCAGATAGTTTGCTGTGAATGTTGCATCAGTTTTTCTGACATTTAAAACTTTTTTTATTTTTACATTTCTCCGATTGTGTTTGTCCTTTTTAACAGTCATATATACCCTAGGGTTTCTTCTCCCTGATGCTAAACTTTAAAAATAGGAAGTGGCTCAGAGGTAGAGGGGGTCATCCACTAATCGGAAGATCGGCGGTTTGATCTCCGGCTCATGCATGGCAAAGTATCCCGCATGTCAAAGTATCCTTGAGGAAGATACTGAACCCCAGATTTCTCTTGATAGCTGTTCCATCGGTATGTGAGTGTGTTAAAAACTGAGTAGCAGGTGGCACCTTGTATGGTAGCCTTGGCCACCAGTGTATGAATGTGTGTGTGAATGGGTGAATGTGACTCGTAGAGTGGTCAGATGACTAGAAAGGCGCTGTACAAAGTTGGGAACCACTGCTTTATTCAGTGCTTTGTTTATGAAACGCCTGACTGAGCCATCCACTCTTTCAGGCGACGATGCAAGTGAGGGATCGGTTGAGTTGTCCCAAGCTACACCTCAGCGGTCGGAACGCAGTCACATGATCGTCTGGCAGAATTCCACGCCCTCTGTGCCCAGCCCTGCCCTCTGACATGAATCATCTCCAAGTACTGCCCCGCTGGAATGAGATAAAGAAGCAGCAGACATACTGTACACTGTGCACCAGCAAAGCTAGAAACATTGAAATGGTGCTTTCATGGAACTGAAGGAACCAGCATTTCAATGTGGCAGTGATTAAAGTATCTTCTAAAATATATATGATATATGATACATGCTGTTTCATCCTTGTTTACCTCGTTAATTTTGTACATCTGTGTTTGAACTGGATTGTCCTGATGGATGTCGATGCCTTACTGTGTGCCTTCATCTGATGTTATATCATGTCTGTAACTGGTCAGTAATTCAGCTCCCTGATTGTTCATAGCTCATTTTACCTTTGCACTAACATTCAGTCTCCCTGACGTACAGCTCTCTGATTCATTTTTCTGCCAGTGTTCATTCACATCTTCGTTCCATCCAGGCGGCACCAGGTCCTTTTGTCCTTCATCTTATGATCATAGAGTTTAAGTTAATACTGTGGCTGCTCGTGAAGCTGCTGTGTACATATTTTGTTGTTAACTGTGAACTGGAAACAGGTATTATTCTTCTCTCAGCGTAAAGACAATCAGACACTTGTTACGTCGTGATGCTGCGGAGACTGGGCATAACTTCTTTTGATTGTTTTTTTTCTTCCTTTCAAACTCTCCCCTCCACGTTGCACTGTAGTGAAATTACAAACTGCACATTTTAATTGTGTGATATCCCATCCTCTAAATGAGCTTCATCAGTGCTTGTCCTTAAAAATTATTTATTTTCTCAATACGTTTTCCACCTTTATGTCTTTGGTTGTCTTAATTTGTTTTAATTTGATTTCAGTATGTTTTGTGAAATAAGGGCGATCTTTTTTTCTTCAAGTGTCCTATGCAGTATTTAAATGCACTCATGGTGATATCGTAGCATCTCCCTATTCTTCTCATTAAGAAAATTAGGACGTGAGTATTCCTTCTGGCTCAACCTTGTGCAAACATGATTATTGTCATTAAATATGTCTTCAATGGACGTTGTGGTGATTTTTATTCTGAGCAGAAGTGTTGTAATCCAGTGCAGAAACCCAAACAGTCAGTGCAGGAGTCAAGACCACTTAAACTGAGACCGAGTCAATGCCAAGAGCAGAGCAGTGTGAGTCCCACACTGCATGACAATAAAATGTAGAACATAAAAACCATATGCACTCCTGAATCTGATCCGAGAGATCCACATTCCCATAAAAACACACAGAAAACATTTGAAGACTCCTTCTCATTCTCCTCTTTCACTGTCATACTGTATATATGTGCGTATGTTTACACGTACCATGTGTCTTGATAAAAAGACATTGCAGAGGTGAATTTTATGTGTCGGAATTTGCCTTAACCATTCATTTTCAGCACTCCTTTTTCACACAGGCAACTTAGATATCCCATAGTTGTGGTTTTAACTGGTCTTGAATTAAAATCCTGAGTCCTCTTTGTCAGAGTGAGACAAGATTGAGGAAAATTGGAGGTGATTCTAAGACAGAGACCTTTTAAAAGTGGTGTAGACCGATCTCGAAATACAACTCTGCAAGTGTAAAGATGAATGACTTGACCCACTTGTTATCACCACATCACAAAATAAAAAAATAATAACTCCAGAGTAGGGCTGGGCAATATGAAGACATTATATTGCATCATGATACATCGTCTTAGATTTTAGGTATCATTGTATTGTGATATAATAAGTGGGTTTTTTCCCTCGTTTCAGAGACAGAAATATAGTAAAGTGATGTAAAGTTATCAACTAACCAGACTTATTTGTTTTAACACCTGCCTTAACCCACTTAGTCTTTATATCCACATTATTGATGATTATTGATCAACAATCTCATTGTAATAATATTTTCTGCAACTTTTTTGTTTGCATCTGAGAATATTTGGTAAGAAATATTGTTATGTTCGATTTTGTCTTCCTGTCCGAGCACTGATAAGGTGCGCTGGAGAAGATTTAAATATAAATATGTTATTTTATTTTTTTAATATACATTCTTTTTTTTGTATTGTGTTTTGAGATATAGCCTAAAAATATCGCGATATAATTCTCAGGATATATGGCCCAGCCCTACTTCAAAGAAAACTGACAAATTAATACATGAGATTCATGTTTTTAATCTTCATATATTGGAATCTATAATGCTTATTACATAATTAACCTGAGTGTAGTCCATATACAGCTTCCAGTATACACATTTTCCCAGTTTTCCTTATGACAACACAACAAATGACACTGACAGGTCATTTTTCCCATGTGAATGAGGCTTTTGTTTTGTGAGGAGAACGACAACCAGGAGTGACACTCCTTCGCCTCAGGCAGTTTGGCCAGCTGCCTGGTTAAAGGCAGGCAGCCCTTCATGTAACAGTCAATCAGTCAGTCCGTATCTTCAGGCTCCACTTCCTATGTGGGGCTGCTGCGAGTTCTGGGGATGCGTATCCTGCGGCTCAGGGAGCGAGCGAGGCGGTCCATAGCTCCAGCAGTCTTCCCCAGCTCCTTCTGAGAGGTGAGACCTTCAATATTGCCACTGTACCACATGACCCAGCCCGCCAGGGACAGCAGCACCAGGAGGGCTCCTGTGTACACCAGCAGATCCCCAAAGTCTCGGCCTTGGATCTCAAGTTCAGCGAAGACCCCCAGCAGTAGGGAAATCACACCCAGTAAGTCCATGAGCACAGCAAACACCAGGGCCAGCTTACAGTGGGACAGGCCGTCATATTTAGGTGCCATGGCTGCACTGGAACAGAGAGGGGAGGATGTGATGTGGAAATGTTGCCTTGTCTCTGTGACTTTTAAGTTACATTATAGAAATACAGACAAATATTCTTAACTAATTCAAAAATTAATCAACCAATAAGCTGTAAGCAAGTGTTTTTTTCCTCCAATAATACCTAGTTATTTTAAGATAACAAAGCAATATGCAAAGGTACATTTTCAATACTAGATACTGGCTTCTGTTTTGTTGCATGTTTGACACTGCATTTCAAGTCACAACAAGTGCCACACCTGTCCGGCGCGTTTCACAAAACTTCCTTTACATGCAGCCCAACCACACAGCAGCAGAGTCCACATTAATATGAACATATTCAAGGCAGAAACAAAATCCCAAACTTACCGTGAAGTCAATAAGTATTTTAAATTCAATCGTGGTCACAAAGGAAATCGTGTTTCTTTCCGGATCGATTCTAAAGAGCTGCCAGCCGACACTGAAACCTGACACCTCGGCACCTGCCCTACCTGTCCTCAGGTGTGGCCACCATGTGGTGTCGACACTACGAGTGGGAAATGCTGTTGCATGTTTTGCCAGCGAATTTATAATGTTTTAACATAATATCAAGAAAAATGCTCCTGAATGTGTAATTTTGCTGCACACAAATGATTATTTTTACATTTATTATTTTTAAAGCGTAATATATCTAAAAAAAATGTCATTTCACTGCACACAAAATTAATTTTAACATATTTATATAACGTTGCATATTCTAAGCAAAACTGCTCCAGAATATGTAACTTTACTACACACAAAAATATTATTATTTTTTATTATTTATCTAAAGTTAAATATCTAAAGAAACAATGGATATCTAACTTACACAAAAATAATGTTATTTTTACATCTATTATTTATGTAATGTTGCATATTTTAAGCAAAATGCTCCAGAATATGTAACTTTACTACACACATAATTACTTTTTTTTTTTTAATTTATTATGTATATAAACCTACATATCTAAAGAAACATATGCTCCTGGATATCCAACATCACTGCATACAAAATTATTATTATTTTTATTTATTATTTATATGGCGTTACATATCTAAAGAAAGAGAAGCTCCTGGATATCTAACATTATTGCATACAAAATTATTATTATTACATCCATTATTAATTAAACGTTGCATATTTTAAGCAAAATTGCTCAGTAACTTTACTGCACACAAAAATGTTATTATTTTTTATTATTTATCTAAAGTTACATATCTAAAGAAACAAATGCTCCTGGATATCTAACATTACTGCACACAAAATTATTATTAATTTTTACATAAATTATTTATATAACGTTGCATTTTAAGCAAAATTGCTCAAGAATATGTAACTTTACTACACACAAAATTATTATTTTTATTTATCATTTATATAAACTTACATATCTAAAGAAACAAATGTTTCTGGATATCTGAAAGTACTGCACACAAAATTATTTTTTTTTTATATATACATTATTTATATAACGTTGCATATATTGAGCAAAATTACTTCAGAATATGTAACTTTGCTTAACACAAAATTATTATTATTTTTTATTATTATTATTATATCAACTTACATATCTAAAGAAACAAATGCTCCTGGATATCTAACTTTACTACACACATTTTTTTTTAATTCATTATTTACATAAACTTAGATATCTAAAGACACAAATGCTCCTGGATATATAAATTTACTCTAAAAAAATTATTATTACGTACATTATTTATATAACGTTGCATATTTTAAGCAAAATTGCTCCAGAATGTGTAACTTTACCAAACAAAATATTTTTTTTTCTTTTGCGTATTATTTAAATACATATTTTAAAAGACTCGTCGCTTTAAATACTATATTGAGCTATAGTAACTTTACAAACAAAGCCTCTACAGGACTTTTTAAAATTTTATCTTAATTTTATTTACTGAAGACACTCATCCGGTAATTTCATTAAAACCGGAAATGACGCAAGACAGTGATAAAAAAGAAAACATCGGTAATTGTTATTGTTAGCTTGTTAGCTAGCAGTCGAACTGGTGAATGGAGATATGACAGAGTAATAACGTCTTATTACATGTGCACGATTAAGTTATTACAAACGTAAAGTGGTATGTACCAATTTCTGCACAATATATTGGTAGCATGGAGACTGTAGTAATGTCCGAATGGCGGAGTTAAACACTAAAGTGTACAGAAAGGATGGAATTGTAATTTTATATTCGCAGCTAAATTCTTGCTAGCGTTAAGCGAGGCTAACGTAGTGCGAAGCTAACTATAATGTTAGCAAGCTTCCATATTGTGAGCTCTGTGCCTGGCTGCTACAAACTTATATTTGAGCAACACATCCAGTTTTACTGTGTCAGTTAATGCGTGCATGAGCAAAGAGGGTTATAATAAAATTAGCTATGGTGTGCTGGATGTGTGGGCTTGCATTTAACACGTCTAGACACATAGAGAAAGCTTGTAACGTTACCTTTTGTAAATAAATGTGAGCATAAGCACTATATTTATGTAACGAAGGCATTCGTAAGGTCGGTGCATAAGTGTGAAATGTCCCAGTGACCTCTTCAGTAATTAATTTTTCATTGTTCATGTTGTCTGGTGTGTAACGTTGTGAGATGGAGGACGGAAACAGGAGTGATGCTGCTTCCACATCCAAGAGTCACGCAGGCTCACTCCACCTGCAGAGTAAGCTCTGACAAACTGCAAATACACATGATGTTCAAGCATACAGCTGTAGGTCAGGTACTTAATTAACACTGTGCATATTTCCTCCTGTTCAGCTCCCAAAAATGAGGACGCCTATGAAATTGCCATTCCCTATGAGGAGAGCAACTTTGAGCAGCAAGGTTTTTTCAATCAAAGTGATCAGAACTTTGATGGTGAATGTCAGAATCACTACCAGAAAGTTCACTTTTTCAATCTCTACGATGATTTCATTGTTCTTGATGCACAGCATTGGTGATTTCCCAAATTATCCTGTCTGTCCTCCTCAGAGTCGCCCCCATCTGCTGGCCCATCTCCAGTAAACAACTCATACATGGTGATCACCAACCTGCGGACCCAGCTACAGATCTCTCTGGAGAAAAACTCTTGGCTGCAGAAAAGGATTGAGGACTTGGAGGAGGAGAGGGACTTCCTCCGTTGCCAGCTGGACCGCTTCATCTTTTCCACAAAGAGCCAGGGACAGGAGCAGAGTCAGAGCCAGTACAGTAATGGTGAGGACAGAAGACAGGTGTGAGATGATAACCTGTTTGACAAATGTTTGAAGTATAAGTTGATCAGGAACAGAACTTCCCAAGGCAAGTCTCTAAGGATGGAAAACAAATTCTTACCTCTTGGTATTTGTCTTGGTAGGTTATGAATCCAGACGATTCAGCTGGAGGGCAAGAAGAGAGGAAGATCGTCCCGTTGGTAAAAACAAAGATTTATGCACTACAATAAAATAAATACAGTATGTATTTCATCTTACATCTTTCTTCTCTTCCTAGAGCAACAGAAGACGGAGTCTCAGCATTTTCCCTCACGTCAGTTTATCCAGCGAAGGCCTGGCCCTCCAACCATGGTACCTTCCAAAAACAATGTCTCCAATCCACTAACCACTCAGCTTGCCTCTATAAATGCTCTGTTCAACTCTACACAATCCCAGGCCCTCTTGCAAGGCCATAGCCATAGTACTCCCAACACCACAGCCAGCGGGAGCAGCGGCAACAGCAACAGTGCTGCAAGGTCAACCATGAATGAAATGAGTGGGCATAGCAACATGGGTCCAGGTAATGCAAATGGCACAAAGCTACCCATCACCTTTGTTGATTTCTTTCAGCTTGTGATGTTTGCTGAGGGAATTTTTTATGTTCTCATTAGAGTCACTTTCACTCTTGGGAGAATCTGATGAGTACTTAGAGCAGGAGGGCTACCTTGAGGAGGAGGAGTTGATATCCGGGGAAGATGTAATGCAAGACACCATTAACAGCAACAGACACCAACTAAAGAGAAGACGGGTCTTCCGAGCCCCTAGAGAGAGGCAGAGAGGTAAAGGAAGGAGAAAAATCCTGCATAAGTCTGTTATAAAGTATTTCTGATAAGACTGCTGTAGCTAACTCTCTTGTACATTCTTCTTCAGTGAAAGATGCTGCTGGAGTGCTGTTTCGCTACAAGAAGATCCTGCTCACATACCAGCGTCTGAAAAATATGTCGAAAGCCTTCCAAATCCACGGTGTGGACCGCAACACGGTGGCTTCCACCACACCCATTGCTGAGCTGCTACTAGTGGCCCCAGAAAAGGTGGCAGAGGTGGGCGAGTTCGACCCATCCAAGGAGAAGCTGCTGGACTATGCCCGGCGCTGCTACACAGCCCTGGATGAGGAGACACTTAGCAGGGTGCAGGCCCTGAAGAAGAATAACCTGCTCCTGCCCATCTCCTACAGGTTTAGACACTGAGCAGAGAAGGACAGAGGAATGGGACGTCTCTCTGGAAAACATATGAACTGCAGCTGAGCTCCTTTGTTTTTCAGACAAACATTTAGCATCTCACTTTTTATTATCAATATGATGTCACTTTCTTTGATAAATCTATCACCATTGTTCCAGTAATATAGAGGATGTGGGAGTGTCTGCTGCAGTCGGAAAGGGAAAAAAATGGTTCTCATTGCTCAAAGAGCGAACGTGGCATGTCTGTGATTCAGAATTTCTGGACACGAGTGTGTCTTTACGATTGGGATTATAGAGTGTAACCAACTTAGCTCATTCATGTTTCAGCCTTTGCAGAGATACACTGATCTTTTCTCACCTGAACATCTGGATCAGCTTGTGGTTGGTAGTTCATTAATTGATTGTCTCGATCATTTCAGCTCCTGACAGTGTAAATGATTTTTAAGCGTAGCCATTTTTATCACTTTATGTGTGCAATTATGACATGATCCCAAAAATATGGTAGCTGTCAATCACAATGTCTGTGTATGTTAAAATTATGTTGCACTTAATAGATTTTGTAGAGTTATACTGTATTTTTAAGAACATTTCATTTTGTTTATATTGCTCTGTGTGTCTTTGTTAGATCATTTTTAGCATTGTCATTATATCCTCAACCATTTTCACTTGCCTTAAAGCAATTATGTGATCTCCTCGTGTGAGACAAGCGACAGTTTTGGACCACTTTCACTTCCTGAACACCCTGAAGAGAAGGACAGTACAGACTACAGTAAAGACAAGTCCAACATTAGCTGCAGATGCATTTCTGACAGTAACATACTTCTTGCAACAAGATTCACGTCTCTTAGATAAAAATCAAAGACAGACACATATGTTGGTAATATTGTGTGTGTTTGACTCACTTTAGCCCAGTTTTAACAAGAATACTGCTGCATTACTCTGATGTTCCACTAAGGGTTGTACCAAACCTTTTTGTAAATGATCTGCACTAAAACACAGTAAATGTCACTTCTTATGCTTCTTTTATTGGGGCTCTTGCTGTAATGCTTTTG